TATTAAGTTAAGTCTTGCCTAAATCCCCCCCCCCGTCATTGTGGATGATTGCAAGTGGATGATATACACATATAATATTATGAATGACTTTGCTTTAACATGTATCCATGTAAATAGAGGCATGTTTCATTTTCATGTAGAAACAGCTTAGGACAGCGAAGCATCTTCTTCTTGTGAAACCTGGCTGAGGGAGAACTACAGGGAAGCTTGAAGGTGTAGTGCAGTTAATTCACTTGGGTCAATTTGAGCAGGTAGAAAAAATCCAGGACTTGTCAGGATGTCCTTGCTCATACTTAAGGAAACAACTTTTCAGTTGTTCCTACTTTTGGAGAAGCCACCTAGAGTGGTCATTTGACCAGATAGGCAGGGTATAAATAAATTAAATTAAATAAATTAAATAAATTAAATAAATTAAATCAATCAATCAATCAATCAATCAATCAATCAATCAATCAATAAAGTGTTCTTTGCATCTTTGCAAGCAGGTCAGTGAGAGTCAGCATTTCATGGATTAAACTGGAGATTATAATGATTGCATGATCTTTGGAAAACCAAATCTGGATCTTTGAAGATCCACATTGAAACCCTCAATCAGTGCTGATACTGATAGTACCAAGTGTATGCATATCTGGCCTGCATTACTAGGCATGGCACTTATTGCTTCTACTGATTCCAAGCCCCTTCCAGTAACTTCCATTGGAGGGCCTAGTTCTTGGCAAGGAGTCCTGCTTTCTCTAGCTGTGTGGGAGTCCTCCCTCTCACTTCTGTTCTGATCCTATCAATGTCTTCACCTTCTTGCGCAGGGTTTTATGAAGCAGGCAGACTGTCACACTCTTTCCTCCTAAGGGTTAATGTGTTAAGAGCTTGTCTAGCAATTCCTGCTTTGAGAAACACAATATAAGTGCAATAACACAGCACCCCTGGATTCAGGTTTTGGGGGCAGGGATGAGGATTAATTCCCGCACTTGATGTTAATGCTTGTCCGAGGAGTTTGCCTTGGGGGGAGTATTGCTAGGGCCGACTGGTCTTGTTAAATGGTTGCTAAGGCCCTGGCATTGTGGCCCAATGGAGTGGCCCACAGTCACGGTCACGGAGGGAATTACACAGCCACAAAGAAATTGTTATTCTCCGTAATCTGCTCTTTGGAGAGTGACTGGGGGAGATGGGCCGGCCCCAGCATGCCGCCGGTGCTGTGATCATGGAAGCGTGTTGGCTCTGGCCAGTGGGGCAGGGCTCACCTTCAGATCTGGGGGACACCAGTGATGCTGGTGCTAATCTGCTTTCTCAGCAATTTTGTTCCTCTGACACAACGGTGTTTACTTGTTTGAACATCTCCCGAGACTCTATTTTGCCTATTGTGTGGTCTTTATCCTCCCCACCCCCATGGGGCTTTAGCCCAGATTACAGATGGAATTAAGGCCTCTGGCTCGGGTGCCCCAGAAAGACTGATACGGGATCAAGGAGCAGAAAGTAACAAAATAACTGGAAGGCAGGGGGGGAGGTGCTAGTTGCTTTAGGGAGTGGAAGCCGTATTGTCGTCCCATGAAGCGAGAGCCAGTGCAAGAGTCTGAAAAGCAGGCGTTCAGTGCTTTGTGTCCAGTTCTGATTAGACCGTTAGGGAGGAGGAGAAGGGCTGGGAACATGTGGGTCTTTAGTGGCTGAATGGGCTTCATTGGTTGCTGTTGTCTGAGTGGTAGTGAGAACTGTGGCAGCCTGGCGTTCTCTTGTAAGGGAGTTGGGGGGGAGGGAGGACAGATGGGGTATGTTGACCCTCAATTAGGAGCATGTATTAATTAATCAGAGAGCTCTGGGCTAGACAACCTTGTAGTTGTAATGAAGGAAGGGGACTGCTTAATTCTCTTTATTCACAGTCTTTTATTCATTAGATTCTTTTGCTTTTCGTGCCCACTGTCTTTTGATAAAGTTTCTTTCTCATTCCATGCCTATTTGTGTCCTCTGTGCAGGAGTTCACAGCCTTTTTGGATATGAAGGCCACATATACATGTATGTTTGTGGATGCACACTCAATCTTAGTACACTCCCATCCCACTGGAGTCCCCACTGAGATCACCTGGTTCTACTGGTTGGATAAATAGCAGTTGAGGAAGCCAGGGACCATCCTTCCTACTCATCGACTGGGCTTTGGGGAGAATTGGGTGGGCTCCTGCCAGCCTTAGGTAGCAGCTACGTGCCTTAGGTTGCACACTCCTGCTCCATAGGGGAAAATGTTTATAATCTTTCTGGAAGCCATGGCTCTCCCCATTCCTGCAGTTAGTGGTATTTTTCTGTTAATGTAAGGTGGGCTGGGGTTTGGGGAAGGGTCTGGAAATTTCTACAACCATTGTGATTGGGTGTCTGCAAAAGCAGGCTAGATTGTCACTCTGGAGCCATGCAGATGTTGATGTACTGCAACTTCTGTCCCTCTGAGCCAGTGTAGTCAATTGAGAGAGGAGCTGAGTGTCTAAGAATATCTGGAGATTGTCCACCCCGTTCTAGAGTTAACTACTGTGTAGTCTGGTTCAAACAATGGGAAGGAATTCAGTTTCTCTTTCAGTCTTGGTTATGTGGGGCAAGAGATGCAGCTTAAATATACCTCTAAGACTCCTTTCAAGATGTAGGTATACCATTTTCCCTCTCCGTCCTAATAGCTAAGGAAGCTGGCTTGAAAGATAAGGAACTATAGGATCTCTTGCAGTGCAAGGAAGGTCTGAATAGTTCTCTTGAACGTGATCATTTGTAATGCATGGAGCTCACAGCTAAGCAGGCAAAGGTACACAGTTTTCAGTACTAAATGCAGTGATTAGTGCTGTAACCTTCTGAGCTACTCGTTAGCTAAGACCTCTGTCGTCCAAATTAATTTTGGGTATTTTTACATAGCCTACTGTTCTATGGCAATGGTTTAGCACATTGTAGCTGAACATAGCAGCAGAGTACAGTGGACCCTCGACTTACAGATGGCTCGACTTACAGACTTTTCGAGTTACAGACTTCCCTGGCTGCAAAATTTAGATTCGACTTGCAGCCAGAGAATTGACTGACAGACCAGAAAAAAGCCAAAATGGAATAAAAATGGAACAAAAACGTCCAGATACGGATTAATCGGTTTTCAATGCATTGTAGGTCAATGGAGATTCGACCTACAGACTTTTCGACCTGCAGCCACCGTTCCAATACGGATTAATTCCGTAAGTAGAGGGTCCACTGTACTTAGAAAATAGTGTTTTGTCTCAAAGAGAGAACTATACTTCAACCAATGTATTTGTCTCGTCTTCTCATTTTTAAAGTTACAACAACTATAATCTTCATAGTTCATGTGGCTTCTGTACCTAGTATGTGATTTATATGTAAGGATAAGTTATATCTGCTTTACAGAGAACACATGAATTCTTATTAATGCTAGAGAGAGAGAGAGATCTGAGTAATAGCTTTTATACTTTCAGTCCAGCATGTTTTTCACTGATCTATTCTTATGTTAAAAATGAAGCCTAATATGATACTGTGTGATTGTGAATATTAAACATCATTATGTAAGTCTGTGCTTGATCTCCTTTTCAGTGGACAGCTGGTCACTTGCCTTGGAACAGATTTTCATCGAGGAGCTGGAGTCCTGGATGTTTTCTATGAAACACCTTTCACCTTGCTGTCTTGTGGTTATGATACCTATATCCGATACTGGGACTTAAGGACAAGCACAAGGTTAGTCCTGGAGCTTGCTTATTTAAGTTGGCTGGAAAATGTCTCTTGCTAGCTTTATGGATGGTTTGTTTTGGTAATCAGAACTGGCTGTAAGAATTAGTGAACCAGTACCTGATGAACAGTTTTTTAAAGCTTTCTTGTCACTTTCTTTTCCCCCACCCTCAAGGGAATGTGTCAAGAAATGGGAAGAGCCACATGACAGTGCTCTGTACTGCATTAGGAGTGATGGAAATCACATGGTTGCCAGTGGCTCTTCTTACTATGGTGTGGTCCGTCTCTGGGATAAACGGCAAACCAGGTGCTTGCAGGTGAGTGAGTGAGTGAGTGAGTGTGTGTGTGTGTGTGTGTGTGAGAGAGAGAGAGAGAGAGAGAGAGAGAGAGAGAGAGAGAGAGAGAGAGAGAGAGAGAGAGAGAGAGAGAGAGAGAGAGAGAGAGAGAGAGAGAGAGAGAGAGAGAGAGAGAGAGAGAGAGAGAGAGAGAGAGAGAGACTTGCTTATTGCTGATTACTTGTGTCATATGGAAAGAAATGGGTAGGGCTTCCTATTTTGGCTGGAGACCTTGCAGTTACAAACCCTAACATAATTTAGGTTGTTGAAAAGATATATTTTTGGGAAGGGATGAATATATGTAACTTCAGCTCCAGAAGGGTGAAATACAAATGTAAGTACCACCTGGTTCCCATCCTTACAGGGCCAAAACAAGGTTTTGGATGTACCTTATTGTTGTGTTTCCATGATAGAGAATTATCTCTGCCTGTAATTTCATGAGACCAGATGAATAGGAGTTATTGTCCAATGAGAACTTCATATGAAAGCTTTGGGTATGTAGGGATGGGAAATGCCAGATGTTTTGACTTCTACCATTTTTTTTTGCCAGTTGGCTGTGTGGGCTGGCCCAATGAGAAATGTAAGCCAAAACATCTGAAGGGTCAGTTTCACCACCAGTGATCTGTGTAGCAGAGATTTGTCAAGCTGTTGCTGATACAATAAGTTAATCTTGTTCATTAGGAACCTAGCAGTGCCCTATCTGTTGTCTTAGTTCAGTTCTGCTACCCTATTACAGTGGGGTAAATTTATGGAGCTGACAGATGTCCAGTGGGGTACTGTATGACTGGTATCCAGTCACAGGCTTTTACTACTGAACATTATAAATTGCTTATTTAGACAAATTATATTATTTTGCAGAATTTCTCCCTGTCATCACCTGTAAGCAGTCCTGTGTATTGCCTACGCTTCAGCACCACTCATCTATATGCTACCTTGGCATCTGCACTGTATGCTCTTGATTTCACCACATCTTGACAGTTGGCTTGGATTGCAGCTGTGCTACCTAGCTCAAGAAATATCAAGAAGAAATAACGTCCTTGAGATAAGTAGCAGCCTGAAAGTCACAAAGTGCTAAGAACTACCCCATCTAGAAGAATTCATCATCCTTCTGGTTCCAGTTAAAGCCAGTGTTTGATTCCAACTCTTCATTTTGGGGTTCTGTGTTACCTTTTCAATTTCTGTGAAGGCATAATTCCATAAACTTGAGAAGATCTGTATTCCTTTTCAATACTACTGTAGATTCTGTTTTGGCCCCTACATGCAGCAAATCCAACTGTGTTGGATGTGGTTTAGGAGCAAGTGGCTGTACCTGGGACAGGGAAGCGTGGAATAGCCTTTTACTTCAGCTTTACTGATGCTTATCACTGCCTTACAAATGAATGTTGGACAGAAGATGGCAGTTTCAGCTGAATCTGTGCAAGTTGTACCAAATTGTACAATTGGGATCTGGCAACATACAAAGAGTCCTTCACTGGACAGCTACTGACAGATCAATGTGCTGAATAAAATTTTGAACAGGGATGTATGATGCCTGTGGTGTCAGTCCCCTCAAATTCAAAATCAGTACTTGACTAGTGGTAGTATATTATATCAAATGAGTTGTTTATCCACAAAGGCAAAACACTCCTCATATAATTGTGGCACTCAGGTAAGCGTTGAAATAACTCCTTTAATAAACTGAAAACAAACATTTGATACTCATTGCAAGCAGAGAATATGGTTAACATAACCTACAAGTAGTGATGAAGGATCAGACCAGTGGATAATCTCTTCCTAGTACTCAGTGCAATATTGAGGCATAGATGCTTCTAAGAGAGCTTGTGACTAGAGATGGGAGTATCCGTATTCATATATGAATACGAATATCCCTGCACAGGTGGCATTAACGAGGATCCAGCCCCACAGGGCAAGATGGTTCGCTCACTTATCTGCCGCAGACAGCGCAATTCTACGAATGGCTGCACGCACGCGATCGTGCGCTGCAGAGCCATTCACAGAATCGTGCCATCCAGCCCTATGGGGCTGGACCCTCATTAATACCACCTGTGCGGGGATATTCACATTCGTATACAAATGCCCTCATCTCTACTTGTGACTCATATCGAACATCTCTATGTATATGTTCTGTATATATATCTTTTGTCAATTGGACACTGCCTTCCATAAAGGCATAGTCTTTCTTAAAGCTATCATTTCTTCTCACAAGAAATTCAGCTGGTGTTTACTGTATGACATTATAGAAAACCCACGGCCAGTAAGAAAGAAGTTGAAGGCATTAGTGTACTTGGGAAACCCAAGGTTTGCAGAAGTACCAATGAAACAAAATAGAACCAAATTAACTTAGTAGCCATTTCTGTTCAGGGCAGGGAATGAACTGGAATATTCTGGAAAACATCATACTCCATTGGCTAGAATCCTCCACAGGAGCACTCTACACTGCAACATTTTGTCGTAGGTTCTACATGTTTGGCACATTCACCACTATAATATTGTGTAACAGTGAATCCCATAAAGATAGGAAATGACTGTCCTTTTAAAATTGAATAGGAGAACACTAAATACATCTATATGCATTAGTGTCTGGCAGCAAATTGTAGGTACAGTGGGGTCTCTACTTAAGAACGTCCCTACTTAAGAACAATCCAACTTAAGAACAGCTCCATTTGCTAAATTTTGCTTCTACTTGAGAACAGAAATCCAAGATAAGAACAGGAAAAAAAAAACTTTCCTGCTCTTTTTTTAACCTTAGGTCATCTTACGTTAAAAAAAAAATTCTCCCCCTAGTGGTAGAGTACATATTAACCAGCTTTGCATTAGTTCCTGTGGGAACTAATGCTTCAATGTACGAATGCACCTCTACATAACAAAAAAACGGCCAGAACGGATTAATTGGTTTTCAGTCCATTCCTATGGGAAATTTTGCTTCAACTTAAGAATGTTTCAACTTAAGAACACCATTCCAAAACAGATTAAGTTCTTAAGTAGAGGTTCCACTGTAGTTTCTATGGACGGAAAAGAGCAGATACGGATTAAATGGTTTTCCATGCATTCCTATGGGAAATGCAGATTCAACATAAGAACTTTTCAAGTTGAGAACCACCTTCCAATACGGATTAAGTTCTTAAGTAGAGACCCCACTGTATGTATAATTTTTGCATTCTAGTGCATGTTTTTTTTAAGTCTTCTTAGTTACTACTCACACATGAAGTTGCATGATGGACACTAAGAATATTTCTAGGCAAACATGCAGATATGTTTTGTATATTTTCCATATATGTGGAATAGGGAAATTGGCACAAAATGCAGGAAATGTTTTATTGTTTAAAAATAAACAGGCCACCCAAAATGTGATACACATGACAGTAAGATATGAAAATGAAGAGTAACCCCTCAGAAAATCCTTCTCTAGAGCAAAGGGAGTAACAGGAATAAAATCCATTATGCTTTGTCTGAAATAGGAGGGCCAGTGAAGCTCTTTCAGGCAACATGGGAAATTGATACTGCATTTTAGACCACATAGGACATTACAATTCTAAACATCCTTATGATAGTTGTGGAGTTCTTCTTTGGCTTTTGGACTTGCCATAAGATTATCTTGAAATGCTCTGAGATAAAGTTTGACCCATCTTTTTTCTGCAAGCTACCATATAATTGAAAACAAGAAATCTCATAAACATCAAGTTTTCAGATCTTTGAATTAATTCGGATAGAAAGGTGCTTGTGGATCATATAGATAAATGAGAGATTTTTTTCACCTAGAAGGGTAGAAAGCATGATTCCTAAGAGACTGATGCTCCTGAGTTGGGCTGTCATAAGGCTTCTGGAGAGCCTTAGAACATCTAGGAATGTTGCTTTTCCAAAATACACTAACTAAGCTCACCAAATCTTTCCCAAACACATTTAACACATAAATAATGGAAGTCACAAAATATGGATGGGCAAAATATTCTGCAACTGTTGTCTATTGCGTCTTGCAGTCCCCATCTTCATCATTTGCTGCTTTGATCTTCTTCAGCTCTTTCTGTAGCTCCTCTTCTGCTGTCATAATCTCTGTTGGTTTCTGATACTATGGAAGGGGGGAAAACCTATATTTATTTTTAGTACAATTAGAGTTGTCACTAATATGCAGTGCCTTGTCTGCTAAAGCAGGCAGTAACCAAGGTAAAGCCATGAGTGCCATGAAATTCTCAGAAGTACATTTTTAATACTAAAAGATAAGTACATTTTTACCACATAAAATGTAATGGCACATTGATCAAATGGTCCCTCTCTCAATTGTATGTATTTAAATACATTATTATTTATGAATGTTAGTTTTGGAACTTGCCTTATTGTTTAAGCTTAGGTAGAGTACTGGACATTACAGTAGTCAATGGCAAACCACACACTTAAATTATGTGGGCAGTTTAGATGCATTGTGTCTCCCCATACCCACAACTTGACATGTTCTAAGGATTTGGATTTCTACACTAAAAACCATGGCTTCATGACAGATTTGATGTTCTAAAAAGAGGTAACTGATGGGGAGGAATGTGTGTGCAGCCTATAGGGTTCAATGCCCTCTTGAAGAGTGCTATCATGTCTCCCCTCAGTCTTCTTTTCATTAAGCTAAACATACTGAGTTCTTCTAGTCATTCTTCATAGGATTTAGCCTCCAGTCCCCTTATCATCTTTGCTGCTCTTCTCTGCACCTGTTCCAGGGCCTCAGCATCTTTTTTTTTATTGTGACCAGAACTGGACACAGCAAGTGTGGCCTCACCAACATGGTATAGAGTGGTATTATCACTTCCCGTGATCTTGATGCTATCCCCCTGTTGATGCAGCCTAGGACTGTGTTGGCTTTCTTGGCAGCTGCTAACGCATCCTTAGGCTGTGGTCCACCAAAATGACTAAATCCCTCTCACAAGTACTACTGTTGAGCCAGGTACCACCTATCCTGTACCTGTGCATCTGGTTTTTCCTGCCTAAGTGTAGGACCTTACTTTTCTCACCACTGAAATAGGGTGTCTGAAGAATGAAGTTTATCCCCTTAAATACTTTGTTGCCTGTTAAGTAGTTGGAGTATGGTGAATTCACTTGCAATGCATGCCCCCCAGAGCCCACAAGATCTTAGAAGCTGCCAAGAAACTAGTCATATGGTTTTCCTACGAGCCAACCTATAAGGACTTCTTTACTTTAATGACATTCCTCCAATAAATTAGCTTAATAGTTTTCCACAGAAGAGAACGTCCAGGCTGTTTACACGTAACTATGGTTCTCTGAGTGGTAATTTGTGTACCCACACAACTCACATTCCTCTGCATTGGTGATGTCCCATATTTGGTTGCTCCACTGCTTTGGCAGTCAAGGCATTTAGAAAGAAAGGCAGGAGCCACACTCTTGAACATGTGCTGTAAGACCGGAGTGGGGTTTCTCACCTAAAGTGCAGTTTGCTCTAGAATATTCAGACTGACACTCTGCACACACATGACCTCCATGCATGAGTACATGGATAACCACTCAACAAATACAGCTACAGGTCAGCACTCTTCCTTCTTGACAAAGGTAGCAATGCCTAAAAAGAAGGCTGGAAGAAGGGATGTGTTAATATTGACAGAATTGTCTTAAGGACACTTACCGTGATGATCAGTGTGTTGTTGGAATAAGTAAAACTCAGAGCAGCAGTATCCAAGGGCAGCTGGAACCTGTCAAGATCGGGAATGGAGAACTTCTTATAATACCTGCATGCAAGAGAGGAATGTAATGGCAAGATCAATTTCTGTTGTAAGTTCTGATAATAAATTTTAATTGTATGTTTAAAAAACAGTATAAACCGAATTTTTAGGAAGTTTATGATGCCCATTTTTGCACTTTCCAAAACTATTAACTGTTTAAAAGAACATTTTCACTGAACTAAAGGATGCTCCTGGCTAAAGTGGGCAAAATATTTTAATTTTATTTTAGTACTGAATGTGAGTACAGTGGTGCCCCAACTTACAAACATCCCGACTTAGGACCATTTTGAGTTACGACCAGCTCTGGCCGCAAAATGTTGCTTCAACTTGCAGCCGGAGCTTCCAGTTACGAACAGAAAAAGGCAGGGAAAAAAGCAGGAAATTCAAATTGCTAACCATTGGTAGATGAAGAGGCTGCTTCTTTGTAGCTCAATGGTTAGAGTGAGTGCGATTGGAGGAGGCTTCGGACTGCCTGGTAAGGTAAGGAGCTGCTTTCTGCTTTTTAAAAACTGTTCTGGGTGGGTTTTGCCGTGTGGTTTTGGGCTGGGGGGGTTATGTTTTTGTGCTGTGTTGGGTCTTGGGGGGGTTTTGTTGGTTTTTTGGTATTTTTCCCCATTCTCATGGGTCTTGTGGGGGTTGTTTGATTTTTGGGGATTTCCCCCCATTTCCAATGGGTCTTGGGGGGGTTGCTTGCTTTGGGGGTTTTCCCCCCATTTCCGATGGGTCTTGCATGCTTCGCTTGCTTTTCTTCCCCCTCCCCCCTCGGCCGGCGACAGATTAATCACGTTTCCAATGGTTCTTGCAGTGATTTGTGTATGTTTCACGTTTCCAATGGGTCTTGCAGTGATTTGTGTATGTGTGTGTGATTTTTTTCCTTCGACCGGAACGGATTAATGGCATTTCAATGCATTTCAAAGGGAAATGGTGCTCTGACTTACGACCATTTCGAGTTACGACCGGAGTTCCGGAACCAATTAAGTTCGTAAGTCGAGGCACCACTGTACAGAGAATAACTGTGGTGTCATTCCCTGCCGGATGAAAGATGACACCTGCAACATCGTATGTTCAGCATCTCAATGTGTATAAACCATGCCTTTATTTAGAATTTCTCATAAACACTTCATTTTATTTTGATAAATCAACAGTTTATAGCAGTATCAATCAAAATTCATGGACTTAATCAAGGGATAGCTCTCAAACCTGACTGTAGTCACTATTTTTTATTCATAAAGGAAAATGGCAAGACAAGTACCATAACAATGTAAATGGCAGTTTAACATTGGGCAACCTGGGTTTCCGTTGTCTCATTTATCTTCATCAGTTATCAGACACCCAAGGAAATGGTCTTTTGCCAAACACAATCTAATCACTGGAAGAACATTATTCTTAGGTCCCTACTTCGGCATTGCCACTATTTAGCCCCTTTGTTACTTAGAATTCTTCCCCTGTGAAATTCCCTCACTCACTGACATGTTTCTCATGCTCCAAAGGAGAATTTATTTCCTTGTAACAGTCCCATGAGCAGTCTTTCTCATTAAGCTAGTTTTTCTTGGAGGTTGACTGCTTGAACCAGTGCAGCACAAAACTTTATTTTCCAAGCTATAACGAAAATGCATACAAAGGCCAACTAGGCCTGGCTGTTTGGCTTGCTAGCTAGGAATGTTTGTTACCGCAGGGCTTGGAGGCTTCTGCATGTATTTGGGAAAGGTGGCAGACATGGATAATAATAGGGGTGTCAAAGGTTAAACAGCAAAGATTAGATGAACACAAAGACATGTTAAGGAAGTGTTAACTTCTTACTGATTGAGACAATAAAAAAGCAGGTCCCAAAAAAGCCCAGTGTTTCAAAGAGCCTATGAAGCCCTCCCAGAGAACACCAACTCCCCCCCTTTTCCCCAGGGCTGAAGCAGTGGGAAAATACCTGGTCCGGTCTCCAACTAAAATCTGTGAAAGATCAAAGGAAAACAATCTACTACTCTGCGCCCTTCCAGTGTAATGTTAACTGCTACCTCGCCCTGCAATAATTGAATTGGCTGTGGCCAAAGAGGCTTTGCCTGTTTGTTTGGAAAGTTTGCTTTAATGGATTTGTTTTACAGCAAGAGGACTGGAGCAAATTCCACTTGAGCAGCCTTTTGCTGTGACTGAAGGGGACAACAATGAATGAGTTGGAAGGGGCTGCAATATTTTCTTTTTAACATCCCTTGCGGCAGCTTTGTGCTGGCTGGGCTCTTGTGCCTTTAACAGCTGTGTAGGAGACATTCAATAAGTTCAGCTTTCTCCCTTACTGCATCTCAATGGCAGTGGTTTCATCTGTTGAGTTTCAGCCGGTCATACAACTATAAAATGCATTCCCTATCTTCCTCCAAACTTTTAAGTGTAGTCCCTTAAAATTTCACTTTAAGTCAATGCAAAGAAACATTATTTAATATGGCCACAAGGACTGGCATGTGTCATACAAGAGTTTATATCTAGCCTAAACAAAAGTACACTTTCTGTTAAAGTACCAAAAGCAGAAAAACTGTATGAAAGGCTAATTATATACTGGCAACACTTCGGCCCTTCTATGTGAGAACTACACTGCTAGCTAAAGAAAGACGAATTTCGTTGCCTTTATTTTATTTCCTTCCAACTATTCAGTCCAAGGAATTGTGACACCTACATAGCTGCAATAAAGTTACACCAGGTAGTAAAAACAGAAATATTAAAATGATATGTTAAAGAGCAGGAACAGACCACAGTGGCAGCTATAAGTAATTCTAGAAGCTTTGGAAATAGCTTTACCTGCATTCTAAAAAGAAGTGTGTGGAGGGGTGTAGTTGGTAGAACTTCCTGGAGATCTTACGTTAAAAAAAAGGTGCCAAAGAGAATGGCTTCCAATCCCATTTCTGGTGCTAACTATATTTAGAACAGGCCACCCCTTAGTTCATGTTGTGGATGCTGGACCAATTCATCTTTTACTCTCCCAATATTGCCTTGCATGTTAAACTGGGGCATTCACTCATGAATAATTCAGTTTAGGCACTCCTACTGTATATCTTGCTTCATTGTTTTGTTCTTAACTGTATTACAGATGCAAGATCCATGACAGTTTCCTTGCTGAACTGCACTGTAATTGGAATATGTTGCTGAATATAATGTTTCAGACTACTGTTGCTTTAGCCTTGGAACTGCTTCTCAGATTTTACCTCCTACTTTAAGTCACAAAATCAGAACAACTTTCTATCCATTACAGCACTATGTTTCTAATTATGTATCCAGAATACAAGTACATAAGAGCAACATGTTGCAGCAGCAGCAGCAGCTGAACTTTTCTTTTGCAAAGTAAATGAATGAAATCTACTTCAGAAATCTTGTGTAAGACATGCTACTCCCACTGAGCAATGGAATCACATCTTACACCTATATTTTCTCATACACAATAGAAAACAACCAAGTAGTTTAAAAACAGCATATGCAATAAAACTTGTAATGAATGCTGTACATGCCACGTAACAAAACAGCATAAGCCCAGAAATTCAAAACAAAAACAAAAAAAACCCCAAGAACAATTGGAATAGTCATAATACGAAACAACAATGGTAAAGGACAGAGCACTGCAGATCTCTGCCTTGTTAAGTTTCACAGGTTCTAAGGTTTGTGATATTTCTTTTTGAGTTACAAAATACAATTGGGTAGCTTTGTCAAACTTGCTTTCTGGAGAAGGCTCAAGGTACTGTCTTACATATTCTTTGTATATCTTTGAAAAGGGGGATACATAGTTTTTCCACTTTCCCCACCTTGCTTAAGTAGTCAGGGGGGACTCTAGAAACTGGACAAAATAAACAACCTAAACCTATGCAGAGTTATTCTCTTAAACCCAGTGCTTGAAATGTTCACAGCATCCCTCATTTTTCTAGCAGCCCACAAGCAGGGCATGAGGGAAACAGCTCTCCTTGGTTTTCTGCATTTTATTCAGAGACACTTCAATTTTAAACACAGATATTCTGTTCAGCTATCGTGTGCAATAACTACTGATAGATCTATTCTCCATGAATGTGTCTAATCCTCCTTGAAAGCCACCCAGGCCAATGCCCATCAACCCATTTTCTGGTAGCAAATTCCACAAGCTATTTACGTGTTGTGTGAAGTACTACTTTCTTTTGTGTGTCCTAAATCTACTGCTAATCAATTTCACTGGGTGACTGACCCTGAATTCTAGTGTTATGAGATTCTGCAAAAAGCCGAGGATATTCAAGGGCTGCTCAAATCAACAAGTACTTAAGCATCTCCATACCTATCAAGAGGAGGCCACTGAGCCACAGGAACCTGATCCTGCACCTGCCAATAGCAGGGAGATAGCAAAGATGTTAAGTGGATGGGCCCACAGGGTTAATGTAGTCTGGCCTTCATTGTGAAGTGTCTGACAAGTCCTGACCACATCCTTGGGTTTTTTTAACCATCACTGATTAATAGTGCTCTTTGCCCTCAGAAGAACTTTAGCTAGCCTTAAAATAAATGGCCAAACAGAAATGAGCAGCTCTTTGCCAACAGCACCATCTCTAGGTAACAATTAGGGATTGCACAAAATGAGTTAAGATCTGAAAGGAAAAACAAATACTAAAAAAATACCACAAGAGGGTATTTCTCTATTTCTTCTTCATCATAAATTGAGGGCTGAAATGTGTTTACTTCAGTTTATAACTGTGATCAACTAGGAAAGACAGGAGTGGTAGGATTTTCTAAGGAGAAGCACACACTGTTGTCTCCGGACACTACTTATTTGAACTCACAGACTGCACCAACTTCATCCACCCTAAGCAAACTCTGTGCTTACTGACTTCTTATTTGTTGTGTGGATAACACAGTAGCGCTGATCCTTTTCCACTGAAACACTGTATACTTCCTTGGGATATGGCAAGTTCCGGATCCGCCACTGGAAACTGCCCTTTGTATCTTTTCGTATAAAGATGGGCTAGAGGAAATAAAATGTTAAGTCAGTATGCTTCTACTCAGGTGGAATAGAGAGCAACTGTAAACAGCATGATTGAGGATTCTTGGCTTTAATTCATCAATTCAGCATGCTTTCTTACAGTAGCATAAGTGGGGATTCCTGGCTTTACACAACCAACACTTCATCTCCTTTGTTAGGTTTAAATAACAATATTGAGGTTGAGTTCCAAAATCTGTACTGGTGCTGTACCTTTATTGTGATTTTGTGTCATCAAATTGATACCAATGGTGACCCTTTCCAGAATTTCCTACATACATATAAAGTACTCAGAAGTTATTTATAGTTTGCCCAAGGCTTACAGAGGCTGGCTTTTCTCCATAGTGGGGGACTGAACTCCCAATCCCCAGCTCCACAGCCAGGCACTCCAACTCAGTCAACTGTTCAGCCAGCTACACCTTTATTAAGCCCATTCATAAAGTAAGTGTGCAATCTTCTGAGGATTCTTCTTTAGTCAAGATTATAAACATTTTTAAAAAGCAAAAGCAGGGATGATTCATGTTCAAGCTATGGAATCAAAGTTTTTATCTAAAAATGAATGTGGGAATCACCTTGGGTTCAGCCCCTACCATGTGTATTCTATTATCCATGTTTATCACAATTACTATGTTTGCCAGTATTGGTACCTTCCATTTCAATCATTTCAAGCCATTCAGGGTACACAAAAGGAATGCTGAAGTACAAGAATGGGAAAAGAGAAGACAATAACAAGAATTTGGCAGAAGGGAAAAATTTAAATTGAAGCAAAAGTGGTGATATGAACAAAACTGGTCTGTCACAGAAAGGCATTTTCAATACGAGATGACAAGACGCTGGTTCTTAAACTTCAACACTGTGCCAGAGCATTGCTTACTTCATGCTGAGCAGTAAGGCTAGTACAGAGTACCTCCAGAATTTCCCAAAGTCTGCTTATCAGAGAAAACTGTATGTACTAGGGAAGGGCCACCAGAGAGTGGTACAGCAGAAGCCTTGTATGGCTCTTTTTATTAAATGATCTCAGAAATGCTGAGAAAGGCTCCACACTGAGCAAGCACATGCCAGCACAACATTGCACAACACCTTCATCTACAAATATAATGCCTCTTGCCTTGGAAGCCTTTTGGTAGTTAGTAAAGATACCTTGTTTCAGCAGCTTTTATAAACCAAGTTTGTTCCATTTAAATATTGTTTTATTTTTGCCTTTATATTTTTACTGAATGCATAGTTTTATATTGAATTATAATTTATATTATAATTTTAAATTATTGTAAAGCAAACATTCTCAGACAGAGGAATTTTAATCTTCTGAATTAAAGCTCTCAGAATACCCCAGCCAACATGGTCAGATTTTAAACCTCTAGTCATTTTGAATTACTAGAACCAAAGGATGTAATTTTTAAATAAACAAACAGTATTGGGACAGGAAAAATACTCTGTTTGATTTGATATAAAACAGCTTCATATATTCATAGTACTCAAGTCATTGCACAGACTTGCCAAAAAGTCATTAAGTAATCTAACAGAGTGCAACATAAAGTTTCGTAACCCCGGGAATATTCTCAAAGAAATAACATTTGTGTGGTTCCTTTTTTCCCTGTTACAGAAATTATGATATCCCAAAGCATGAATGAGTTACTACATGCTACCTTGAACTTTTCTCGCTTAAGAATCCAAACTGCTCTGTTCTAACACACAACAGTGTACTCCAGAAAATGAGACCTACCCTACATTCTAGATCTGCCTAATCTAAGCAGGGCCAAGCCTCACTTACATTTGTACTACTCTCCTTTATCAGGTCACGATCCAGTGCTTCTGATGCATGCAAGTTTGGCTCTCCCACTTCTAACTGCCAGTGACCATAAGCACCCAGGGTATTCTTCTGTCTCCATTTTCTTACTGTACAGAAAGGAAGAGAGAGACAGCAGTAACACTTTAAATGGTTCTTCCAGAAAAACATACTCAACAATTTTTTGTGAGACTGAATTTTTTGCTAGCATACTTCTTAACATATCAAGAAGTAGCAGCAGATGCTGTATGGCTAGAAATTTTCACATCTAAGTAATGAACTAGAACTTTGTTGGGTAGCGAAGTCAGTTTCATTGAAGATTTTAAATCAGAGATATTTCCAATCCCCCAAATACTCATAACACATGATTTAGCAAGTTCAGACTACTTGTACTGTATTTTGGTTTAAATTTACACTTCCCCCATTATGTCTCTCTCCTGTTTGTAAAGCAAAGTTTATCCTAAGCCCTCTCTCTGCACTAATCCCATGAAAGAGCAACCAAAGGGTGAAAGGAGCAGCTGGCTGTACCACAGGCCTCCCCCAAGGTTGCACAGCTCCCCAATCCTATCTCAAATATCCACAAGGAACATGGCAACCACATTCACGTCAAATGAAGTCAGTGTGAAACAGGTTCTAACTCACACAGACACAAAAGGTTTTTCTGGCTCATAAATATGATTTCAAGGGTGGGGAGGTGTAGCGCCAGAGAGCCATATGGATCCTAGGAGTGAGGCCAACATAATTAGGGTTCCAAGCTGCATGGAAATCTGGGTACAAAAAATCCTTTGCGCAGGATTTTAACCATTATGCCATAAATACATTTCATTAAACAATGGCTCTTCAGAAGGGAATTGTTCAACAGCAATATGTAAAGCAGTGTGATGATCTTCTGCCCACATCATTCAAATAGGACCCACAAAAACATTATACAAAAGCATATTTTCCTCAAGTGTACATTTACTTCCTCACTTGAGTGACAATTCTACTCTGCCTGTCTTGCAGTAGAAATATTACTGTTGGGCAATATGTCCCAACCACCCTAAAGTGAACCACGCTGTAATTCAAAGTATTTATATTTGCTATGACCAACACAAAACACCTACTCATCTGCACTATGTGCAACAGCTAATAAAGGTGCTATTCCTCCTTGTGTACTTTAGACCTTTTCCATTTAACCCAATTCCTGCATCAAGCAGGGGGCTGGACTTGATGGCCTTATAGGCCCCTTCCAACTTCACTATTCTATGATTCTATGACCAATTTTAAACTTTAATCAGAGAAAAGAGGTGTGGCTTACAAAGCAGCTGGTTAGTCTTCATGTCATACTCCTCTGCCATCTCCTTCCCATCGTCGAATAAGTAATGGACTTTTCGTTTACCTAAATAGAGCAGAGTGAGCGAGTCCGGATTAAAACAAAACGAAACACTGAGATGAACCGCAACCCATACCACCCCCTTGCCCCTAAATGCACACACCCTGTACTTGGCAGATCACGATAAATATGGACCACGGCATCCGTTACTTGTAACTTTCGCAGCCCTCCCCTTTCATAGCTTTCAACCAACAATGTCTTGCCGGAAGGAAGCACCCGTGCCTGGCACGTTTGCGCAGGCTAACATCTTGCTTTTAAGGCGACCTCTCCTGAAACCTATTTCAGAAAGTCTGACTCGTAAAGGTACGTAAGATCGGAGGTTGACGCATTCCAAGCTCAGGCAAATGCGCTTTCCATTAAGAACCAAAGCCTTCCACGCCGATTTATTAAGACGACTGCTACCCCACCCTTCCGACCGTTTTTGGAGGCAGCCTCGCTCGGGCTGACTCCCATCGGAGCGCCGCCTACATCGTCCAGGAGAGCGGCGCTGCCCTGAGGCACTTTCACCGCGGCCAGCTTTGAACCCACGAAAGGACCAGCCATCGTCCCCCCCTCCCCAATCTCAGGCTCTCCCCGGCCCGGCGTCCTCCTCTCCCCAATTCGTCACGAATCCAGCCTCCCTCGCTCGTCACTCCGGATCAGAGCTGTTCCCGGCTTGGGTGCCCCGCTCGCTTCCCAATTACCGTCGCTGATGAGCGCGGTTTTGCGCGCCGCGCGTAACTTTTCCGGCCAGCTCTGCCCGGCCATGTTATCCCTGAACTCATCTCCAAGGCGACCGCTCTACACTTCCGGCTTTCCCGACCTGACAAGGAAGAAAAACACGCGCGCATGCGCCTGTTGCCGCTCCGTTGTTGAGCCCCCGCTTTTCCCTTCCCCGGTAAGTGGAAGTGACACCAAACAGAGCTGCCTCTCTCCCCCCCCCCCCNGCCCTGTGCCCGGCCATCTCCCCTCACCTCAGGCTTTGCGTAAGGCGGCGAGTACGTGGCTGGCGTTTCGCGTCGCAGCCTTTTCCCACCACCACCACTCTGGGGTTCATCGCAGCTGCTGAGGAGGCCCCAAAGAGGAAGCGCAACTTGGGTGGGTCGAAGCTGACAGCAGTGAGCGTGGAGGTGGCTCCTGCCGCTACTCGCTTGCTTGCCTTCTCCTTTTTTTGGCTGGCCAACAGGTGTGAGGAGCCTTGAGTTCACCTGCCTGTGTGGTGACTGGTGGCTCCCCTTAGGGTGGATGCTGTTACAAGAGCATGTGGAACTGGGAGCTGGGGTGAGTGGCAGGATCAGGTCCAAAAGTGGGCTTTGATACTTACGAACAGGTAGGCAGACAAACAAACAGTTGTCCTCTCAGATGGTGCTGTATCCCCATCCTGTTCATTCCACAGCTCGAATGAGGACTGGAAAAATATACCTCCCCCCAAGTTAAAAGTATTCCTAAATGCTGCTCCAGCTCTTTGTACCTTGTTTTGAATGTGGGACATAGACTTACATACTGTAGTTGTATTTCTTGTCTTCATTCTTTCCTCCCACTCCAGTATGCACACAGTGTGTGAGACTGGGAATACAGCGGGAAGAGAATATGAGGAGGCCTCTGCCTCTGGTTAGGAGGCAAGAAGAACTCTTTTGTGATATCTTTTGCTATACTAGATAAGGCAGTCTCTCTCTCTCTCTCTCTCTCTCTCTCTCTTTCCAGTGCTAGTGCAAGATCTCTCATCACAGGCACAGAAGGAAGCTGCATCTATGCCCCTCCCCTACGCTCTTGGCTGTGTGGAAAAGAGGAGGGCAACCAATGGTGGTGCCTTCTTTCTCAAAATTGCTCCCTGCTTGCCTTTCTATTATGGCCCCTTCTGGCTGCCTTGGAGAATAATGCCTGGCTCCTGGGGATCTCTGGATCAAGAGCTTGTTGGAGACCTCTACCTAGACAGCATTGTAAAATAGAGCAGTCTGTCCCCTCAGCAAAAACTGTAACTCATGATTTGGTGTTCCCTCACGTATACTATTGCAGCCTTCTCTTCTCTGATCTTCAGTTGTCTTATTTTGGTTAACACATTTGTCCATCTTCTGAAATGAATTCGCATCTCTTGTTGCTCTAATAACATTATACTACTTAGATCTCTAGACTAGTTTTCTGTCTGCTGTATTCAGCAGAGGCTTTTATTTTACCTTCAAAGTTCTTTGTGGTCTTGCCAGCCTTTATCTCTCTCTGTGTGAGTTGGATAAAGGAGGCACAGTGGTTTCCACTTCTATATGCATGAGTGGCTTCAGAAAGTGTTACTGGGAGAATCAGTACGGTGATACGGTGGAGCCCTGCAAGGTTCCATTTTATCCTCCTTGCTTCTTGAGCTGCTAGTTGAGAGAATCTGGGAATTTTCAGTGAGTTCTCAGGAGTATGATGGCAACACTCATCTTTATTTCTGCATTTCATCTGAGACTTATCTGATGTTGTGCTAACTGGAGAACCAGTGACTGGATTCAGTAAATGCCTCGAAGAGGTTCAATAGAGTAAGAGTGACTCCTAATAAGGCAGAGGGCCTGTATCTTGGTCTTTTGTCTGTGAACTCAGTGTTCAGCCTTTTCTAGGTGAGGCTACACTCCCTCTGAATTGGTACAATGTGTAACTTGGAAGTACCCCATAGTGCAGTGTCACCTCTTGAACCCCCTGGTGGACTGAATGGTCAGTAGTGCCTTTTATTAGCTTTGTCTGGTTTGCCAACAATGACATTTCCTGAAACAAGATAATTTCCTATAGCGCTCCATTCCCTGGTAAATATGAACTTGGATTGGAACATTGTGTTGTACATGGGGTTGCCCTTGAATTTCACACAAAAGCTTCAGATACTGCAGAAAGGTGTGGACAGGATTTTTACACGGATAGCCAGATGAAGCCATATCACACAAATTCTGACTTCACTGGCTGCCTCTTCAGAACCCAATTCAGAATGCCAGTGCTTCCCTTTAAAGCTCTAAATAGCTTGGGAACCAAGAAGTACAGTACAGTGGTGCCTTGACTTATGAACTTAATCCATTCCAGAAGATGGTCGTAAGTCGAAGCAAAATTTCCCATTGAAATGCATTGAAACACGATTAATCTGTTCCGGCTGTTTTTGGTTTTACCTTGAGGCGGCAATTGCAAGTCAAAGCATTTGTTCTCATAGGAACGAATGCAAAAGCGGCTAACCCGTCCACTACCACTAGGGAGATAATTTTTCTTCTTTTAACCTAAGATGAGATTAGGTTTTAAAAAATAGCAGGAAAGGAGGGAGGGAGGAAACAATGGAGAAAAGAGGAAAGAAAGAAGGTCATCATTGGAGTACACAGACCCCCTCAGACAAAAGTTTGTGCTGGTAAGCACAAAAAGAGAGGAGA